GATTCAATTCCAGTAAAATTTTTAACCCATCCTAAAAGACTTTGTTTGTCATCAAGTATTTCGGTAATAATCATTTGTGTCGGAGTTGCAAGATTAAGAACTACCGATGGATAATCATATAATCCGATGGTTTCATTAAGAAGTTTTAAGGTGAATGTTTTAATTGGATCCTCTTCTTTGATACGAGCAATTGTCTTATTGGCAAACAAACTAACAAGTGCAGGAAAGGTGGGTGTCTGAAATAATGGAAGAGATCTTGCATCATCAGCTAACCCGGCTATATAAATAAAAAAAAAAAAGATTGAAAAGGAATTTTATTTAGATTCGCTAAAAATTATCAAAAAATTGCAGATATGATAGATCATTATGTAAAAAAATTATTTACCATAAGGAACTGTCATTATGGACATTTTCTCATCCAAAGGAGCTATTTCTAACCATCCACTATAAAAAAAATGTCCATCCATGGGTAGTTCTCTTGGTGATATAAATGTTACAGAAACTTCAACACTTGATCGAGGTGGTACGGCTATTTGATCATTATCAAATTGAACGTTAGCGTATTGATTTTGTTTTGTAAAATATTCCAAGTTTATATAATTTCTTGGCGAAGTGTTATTGTATCCGTTAATGCTTGGAGCTGGAATATGCGATAACTTATATTTCATCTCTTTTCTTCCACTATTATAAATATTTAATTTGTGACTTCCATTAAAATGAACAGTGTCATTCAAATTAATTTTTGGAGGATAGACAAAGCTGGTTGCTTTCAACATATTAAACGCGTCAACGAGTCCTGCGCCTTGAATGATTACCGGGGCTAGTAAATGGTTACGATCTTTACGTGGTACAGCATAATTCATAAATGCGATTTTTAGTTGATCAAAAGATTGTTTTCCAAATGATTCAATATACAATGCCGCTATGCCTGCGATATACGGTGAAGAAAAACTTGTTCCAGACATTACCACGTAAGGTGATAAATTGACTGGGAAAGATGAAAGCATAAGTTGTCCTGGAGCAGAAATTTCAGGCTATAATTAAGAAAAAAAAAAGTTATTAATAGATCTCATTTTTAGAGGATATTTTTTTCTTACCTTAATATTTAACTCTTCAGTTAACCCCCAACTTGAAAATGCCGAAGGAACTACAGAAAATGGTTTATATTCCATATATCCATACTTGTCAGAAAAATCTAATTCTAAATTTGGATTTTTTTCGAGATACTTTATTAAAATATCGGCTTGTTTCGAATCGATAATTGCCCGATTTCTCTTATCCGGTAGATCAAATGGTCTCGGACTTATTACAAACCTCCCGCGCGGGTTTAAGGTTTTTTGCATTAACTAAAAAACAAGATTTATTTTGAAATAAGAAAGTTTTTTAAAGTAAAATGAAGATACAACGTAACTTTGAATTAACTCACATGTTCTGGGCAAATGTTTTTAACTCTATAGTCTATGATTATTATTGTATCATTAAATTCATTGTAATCATAATTTAAACATTTACTCATCGGAAACAATTTAACTTTAATACTTTTAATATTTTTGAAGGTAAAAGCTAATGCTCTTTTTGTAATATAGTCTATAAAAATGAATAAAGAATTATTCAATACTGTTGCAAAATCAAATTTAATATATATATACACTTACTAATAACAAACTTTGGATTCTTTGGATCAAAAGCTTTAAAATTAATGACTTTATCCGTTTCAAATGAACCAACACTAATAGAATTTTGTGCATTCGATGGCATTGCAATTGTAAATAAACCAGATTCACCATAATTCCCTGCCGATACTATGAATATTATTCCCTTTTGTTTAGCGAATTCATTGATCAAAATTGCAAGATTGCTTCTATCGTCACCCGCAAATCCCTTAAAAATTTTAAAATTTAATATCAATATTTTAATATAAATTTTACTTAAAAAATAAATAAAATAATAAAAATAAAAAAAAATTTTATTTACCAAGGACATATTTATGATTTCCATCCCGTCATCGACAGCCTTAATAACAGCCTTCATTACTGTGGTTTCCAAAATTCCGTGTTCTCCATCAATTTCATTTGGGCAAGATGAAACTTTATATGCGCCAAAAATGACATTTGGTGCTACACCTACAAATCCGGGACCGTTATCCCTTAGATCAATACCACCAATAATTCCTGCTACAAATGTTCCATGTCCTATACAATTATCGTACGGGTCGTTCGTATCTTTCATAAAATCGTACCCAAATGCTACTCTACATCCTGGCCCAAAACATCCTCCAAGAGCAGGATGTGTATAATCAATGCCTGATAATAAAAAATGATAAATGATCAAAGTTTTTTGATTTGTTAAACCATTAAATAAGAAAAAAAAAAACTTTAAAATACCTGAATCAATGATTCCGACTTTGACACCTTTTCCAGAGAGTCTCAATTTTTCGTGAACTTTTTTTACTCCGGTAATTTCATGAACAGAATTAATATCATTATTAGGGGCAATTAGGATTGTTCTATTAAGATCGTCTTCGTTACGTTTATTCAAACTTTCCTTTTTAAACTCGATTGGCTTAATTGGATTAATTCGTTTATAAATTTTCTTAGAAGTTGTAAAGCAAGCAAGTTAGTTTACTGCGCCATGTGCTAATTTTAAGCGTCTCGAATTCCTTTACTTACCACGGGCTCGACACTTTCAACGTGCTCAATTTCTGCAATCCTTTTTACATGGCGTTCATCGATTTCAATGCTTATTCCGTTTGCATATCGTTTAAATACATCTTTAATTTTGACATCGATTCCACGTTTATTTAACTCTTTATGAAAATTTGCATGTTGGGCCTCAATATGATCGGCAGATGACGTGAAAGGCGAAGCAGCAAATTTAACATAAAATGTATTTGCGCGGGTTTCATGCGAGGATTTCTTAATTATCTCGGCAAAAGTCCGATTGAAAAAATTGCAAAACAATAAAAGAAATGTCAGGTTAATAATAACACGTTGGTATATCTTTATTTTCATTTTTATAAAAGAATATTTTTATAAAATAGTTATATATATGTATAATGTAAGTTACAAGGTATTCTTTTTTTTAAAAAAAAAAGATTTAATGAGATTCGATCTTTTCACGTCTTTTTTATATCGTCATTTTTTACACAATAATCAGATTCCTTGTACAAAGAAATTTCTTAAGATGTTAACCATGATCTCCGAGAATCTATTTTTAATGGACATTTTCCAAAATTGGTAATGCATTCTAATAAATGCTTCTTATAAAGTCCAATTTAAATCGGCGGCATAAAAGAATAATATAATGGAAAATT